GCCGTGGCCGCGCCTCGCGGCCCGTCATACAAGGTGGTCGGGTGCTCCTCTAGTAAGGTGAGCCTCACCAACCCCGCCGAGTATGCGGGTGCCCGGCCGGCTCTAGAGGTGTTGATCTGCAACCCACAAACCTCTTGAGTTGACCGCTTGCAACCGCCCGCTCCGCTCCCGCCTGCGACAAACCAGGTTTTCAAGAACCACGCCGACCGCGCGGTGAGCCCCCGACACCCGCGGGCATGCGCATGCCAATGCGCCTGCCGGCCGCCGGCCGGCCGCCGCCCGCGCCCCCGCGCCCGCGTCCGCCCTGGGCCCGGGCGTCCCGCCGCCGCTCGTTCCACTTCCGGAGGCTGCTTGCCCCGCGGCAAGGGGGGGGGATGCGCCCTGCGCGCCGCGGGGCGAATGCGGGCCGCTCCCCGGCTGGAAACCCCTCATGCCGTCCTGAGCCCCGTACAATTATGCATGCGTGTGCGCGCAGGTCTTCTTCAACAGCGTGCCGCCCAACCAGGGGGAGGCGGAAGTCGCGGCGCTGCTGGGCCGCTTCGGCCGGGTCGAGATAATCCGCCTCTACCGCGACGACAGCGGGTGCGCGGGTGGAGAAGGGGGTGCGCATGGCGGGCACGCGCTGCGCACTGTACTTGTGGCGCCGGGGCGCGTGCTGCAACCCGAGCCAGCCCGCAGCATCGGCGCGCCGGTGCAAGGGCGCGCGCCGCGCACGCCCGGTAAATAGGGAAGGCGTGCGCTGCCGCATACTTTGAACCGCACGTGCGACCGCGTGTGCACCTGCCTGCGGTCCGCAGCCGGCGTCACCCCTGCACGTCTCCGTCGTCCCAAGCTCAGCGCCCCCGCAAGCGCTCAGCTGCCTGCCAATTAACCCGCGTGCGCTTCGGCCCGCCCACCTTGCCCCGCCCGCCATCCTGCCGCGCAGGGCCCTGCTCAAGAAGGGGTACGGCGCCGCGGTCATGGCGACCCCCGAGGCGGCCGCCGCCGCCGTCGCGGGCCTGCACGGGCGCGAGGTCCAGTGGGGGGACCACGGCGCGCGGCAGCGCATCTACGTGCGGACCTACGAGCCCGCCCGCGCGGGGTTCAGCAGCGCCGGCGGCGGCGCGCCCGCGCGGCGGGGCGGGCCCCGAGGCGCCGGCGAGGTGGGGCGCCCGCTTGGCAGCGCCGGGCGGGGCGGGGCGGGGCCTGGGTGGGCTGGGCTGGGCTGAGCTGACGGTAGAATGGTCTGTGTAGCGGCGTCGCTGCCCTGCCGTGAGCCACGTGTGCGCCCCGCCTCGTCGCCTGCGCGACATCCTCCTCCGGCGCTAATACTAATTTGCTGTGCTTTGCCCCGTCACCCCTCGCCGGGCCCCCCGACCTGCCCTTGCAGGCCGCCCTGCTAGGTGGGACGACCAGTGACGTCACCAGCGCGTCTCCTTTGGGGCCCCGCAGCAGGGCGGAGGCCGGGCAGCACGCGCACGAGAGGTGGGTGGCCCTTTGAGCAGAGCCTGCGTTTGAGGAAGCCCTAAACGCATCCAAATCCGCACGTCACCTCAAATGACTGACAGGCTTGCGCGGCACGCTGGCCCGTCACGCACGCGCCTGACAGGCCTGCATGGGGGAGGCCTGCTGGCGGCGCAACTGTCTAGCAGTTGCATGCTCAGACTGGGCATGCAAGCACGAGCCTCTGCCAAACGGCCCCGTCCCCTATGCTTGACGCCCTCCTCTGCCCCCCTCGCCCCCCCCCCCAACCTGTGCAACACAGCGCGGCCGCGTTCCGCCGCGGCGACCAGGTCATGGCGTACGCGGCCGCCTGGGCCGGCACAGCCCCGCCCTGCAGCGAACACGCCCGGCCCGCCGCACCCGATGCGGCGACAGACTGCGAGCTTTCTGCCGCCGCCCTGCCCCATGGCGCTGCGGGCGGCGGCTGGCCGGGCACCCAGGGCGCGGGCCCCGCCGCTGCCGTCGCCGCCGCCGCCGCCGCCGCTGCTGCCGCCGCCAGCAGCTTCCACGCGAATGCGTCGCAGCCGCGCGCGCGGCAGTGCCTCCCGCAACACGCACACGCACACGTGCCTGCGCCGCTGGCGCAGTGGTGGAATGGCCTCGCTGCCAGCGGCGCAGCTGCACCTACGGATGGCAACACGCTTGTCGCCGGCAACGGCGGCTGGGAGCCGGCGCCGAAACCCTCGTTTGCAGGCGCGCACCGCAGCGGTGGCCTGCCACACGGCCCGGCGGCGGAGCGTGTTTGGCGAGCGGCGGCGCCCTCCAACTTTGCGCCCGCCGGCCCCGCCAGCGCAGACTCATGTGCCAATCTGCCTGGGAGCCTGCCGTCGTGGCTCTTCTGAGCCGCCCCTGCCGACAGCGTTGGTCCCGGGAGCCGATTCAGCTGAGCCAGCACCCTTGACCCGCAGCGAACGCCCCGGCTTCCTGCCGGCGCAGGGCGCTGCTGCGGTGCACGCACACACGCCTTGCATACCACGCGGCCGGCGTGGCTGACTGTGGTTTTGTGCGGCCTGCGCTGCTCGTGGAATCAGCAGGTGTCGTGGGGCGATGGGGCAACCTTTCAACGCCACAACATCCGATGTGCCCTGCTTCCGACTTCCCTCTTAGTACCTTACTTATCTTATCATACCTTATCCCTTCCCAACCAACACATCAAACCTTGCGTACGTGATTTCGTCCGCAAAGGGTCCCGACTTGCCCAGCGCGCTGCGATGGTGCGCATGCCGCCCGGCGCATGCAGGGAGGAAGAGCGCCACAATTGCGGGCGCGCCTCTGCTTGCGCCGGCGGACATGCGGTGCATCGACCCTTTCGGGCGTGACCGTTTTGGGGCCCTGCATTTGCTCTCTTGGCCAGCCTTCTGCCCCTTTCTTTGCAGAGGGCTGGCGTGCGCGCATGGATACGGAAAAAGGCACCGCATTTGCACCAGGCGGTCTATTTCTTTCGGCTGCTCGGCACAGCTTCCAACGGTGCACCAAATCAAGCCAAATCAATTGGCTCAGGCACGGGTGCATCCTCCAAGCCACCTAGGGGGTCTCCCCCCAAATACGCAAGCCCCCAGAGCCCCAACGCCCCAAGCCGCGCCCCTGCAGCGGCGTGGGACCGGCCGGCGCACCCAACGCATCCCGCGGCCGACCTCTGGGGCCGTTCATTCTTTCGACCGCACTGAGCTACATAAAATGCACCCATCCCCCAACTCAGCACGTGCCAGCGTGCCAAGCCCACACCGGCGCCTCGTCTCCGGACGCGCGCCGACACTCTTTTGCAGGTGGGAGACAGTGCGCGCGGCCGCCCTCAATGCTGGGCAGGCGCGCACGGCGCTTGTGGACGCACTTGACGGGGAATGCGTGTGTATGGAGGCACGTGGCCGCCCTCGATGGGCTTTTTCTTGCCACTGTTTTGGGGCGAGACCCGCCGGCGCCACGCATGGTGGGCGTGAAGCAGCCAGGCGGCCGCACACGGTCAGGGTGTGGACCGCAATCGGCGCCGCCGCTGGGAACAAGAATGCCCCATCGCCTGTTGGTGGTGGCGCGCGGATCTGATATGCCTATTCTTATTCTTTTTCCGCTGGTTTGCCGGACCGCGGCAAGAGCCTCAGGGCGACTTGAAGCCCAGTAGCCCCCTTGTTCAGGGGACCTGCGGCTCCTTGCAGAACACACACCGCAGTGTAGCAACGCATTCGATTACAGTATTTTCCCCGCATATGCTCGGCTGTCGACCCCATCAGGCTGAACCCCGAATCCCGCAACATGCTGCTTCGCTGCCGCCTGCGACCCAGCGGCTAAGCAGAACATCACAAAACCCCGCCTCGCTGGCCAATGATCCTGAGATTCAAGCCCCCCTGCTCACTTTGAATACGCGTATTCTGGACATGCGTGCATTCAAATGAGCGCAGTACACCAGTGCTGCTGGCGCCGTGGCCACATGGCTGGGCTTTTGGCGCGCCACTTGGCGCCGCCGCAAGGCTTGCTGCACGCACTTGAAGGCCCAACAGGCGCTGATCCTGTCACGCGCATGTATCAGATGGCGGTGGGACTGGCGCGGCACATGGCTGTGCGACAGGGTAGAACAATAGTAGTGCCTGCAGTTTGGTAGGAGACACGGTGTGTCAGTCTCTCATCAGGCCGGCGATTGGCCGCTCCAGCCACCCAGCTTGCCTCGAAGCTGGGCTGTGCTGAGCTGGGCATGTTATGGGGAGTTCGTGTGCCACGCCGCCCACCCGCTCGCGCGTGTGCCGCCGGACGTGGCTTTGGGCGGTGGCTCAAGAGACCACCCGCAGTGAGCCGACTCTGCCGCCTCACGGCAACAACCGTCCTAGCAGGCTGTGCCAGCTTTCCGGAATTCAGTCAAGTGTAACAAACGCGGGATGTATGCAGCCAATAAGCGGGCGGCGAAACAGGCGTGTGCTGCTGTGTGAGGCCGCCACGCTCGCCCGCCCTTGCAGTGAACGCCGACCATTGTTGCTTGTCGTGGGACCGTGCTGCAGCTGCGGCTCCAGAGTGGCGTTGCGTTTGGGTCAATCTCGTCACGCAGGCAGGGTGCTCGTGCTCCAAGCTAGGAACGCCTAGCTGCACACCTGCGTTGACGACGGTGGCTTGCAGTGATGCATGCTGGGGCTGTTTTGAAGCAAGCCAATGGCCCCAGCAAGGTGGAGGCAACCGTTACATTGAGCACAAATGCAATCGAGTAGCATGGAGCGAATGGCTTATGGAAGGTGCACATCGGGGCCACATCCAAAAAATTGAAAGGGAGAAAAGCCAGTGCCCATGACAGAGCTGGCCTTCAGCCTTGTCTTTGAATACTAGATTACATGAAACGAGCACGGACAGCGCCATGCGCCAAGAATTAGAAGGTGACGTACCGAGCTACAGCCATCTCGCGCAGAGCGTCAGCCAGCGGCCTGCGGCTGAGCGCCGCGCCACTCGCCACCCGAGTCATCGCTGCCGCGCGCCTTCCCGCCCGCCCGCCGCTCGCGCCGCTCCTGGTGCCAGACCAGCACGTTCCTCACCGCAAACAACGCCATCCCGACGGCGGTGGCGGCGTACAGTAGGGGCACCCCCGGCGGCCAGGAGCGCAGCGCTGGCACCGCGTAAGCGGTGCCCCAGGCGAACCAGGCGGCCGCCGTGGACGCGCCCAGCAGGCCGCCCGCCACGACCTGGGGCCATGTGTGATAGCCCAGGGCGACACGCAGCCACGTCTGGGGGGGCAAGCGGGCGTCGCGTGAAAGCGGGGTGCTGCAGCGGTGCATGGACATGGATGATGGTGATTATGATGACAAGGCAAGACATCTTCCAAGTGCAGTCAGGGAATGTGCCCATGCATTGAGGGACAGAGCTTCTGCCGGCCGTTCTCAGAGCACGCACCAAGAACAACCCCACAGCAATTGTCGCCGCGGCGAGCGGTGCTGCGGCTGGCTGGCGGCCCCCAAAGTGCAGGAGCGACATGGCGGCGGTGACGGAAAGGAAATTGAGGCCTGCGCCAGGCGACAGTGCGCACGTTGAGGCGCGTCAAACTGGCGGGATTGTGTGATGGTGCGTTCATGTGAATGCATCAAGGCAGGGCCCAAGGCAGCGTCACAGCAGGGCTGCGCTCCTGCCAAAGGTTGTTGCAAGTTGTTTTGTCATATATGAGCAGCTGCAGCGCGCCAACATGTGCCGGGCTCCGGCTGGCCCCACCTCACCGCCCCCCCCACTGACGCCCTCTTGCCCCCGCCGGTGCGAATCCGGCAGCTGGCCCGCTCACTGTTGCTGTGAGAGGAGGGCATCCCAGGGTCCTTCTTCCGCGCGCTGGCAGGCCGCTGCTCGTTGATGACATGTTTCAACACCTGACGGCAGCACGGCGGCGAGCGGCCGCAGCGCCGCGTGGGACGAGCCATGCGATGGCGCAGCGAGGGCGTCGGGGCCGAGCGCGTATTTTGTCATCAACACCAAGCCGCTGGGAAATGTGCTGATTCATCAACGGTGCCGTGACACTGGGGCCCGCCCAGTGGCGCACCTTGCACAGGAACGATGACGTCACCGCGCCCACGACCGACCACGCCGCCCACTCGTTGTGGGCCGCCAGCAGCACCACGAACACGACGCCAGCCACGACCCACTTTGTCTGCGTGCGTAGATTGGCGGTGGGTAGCCATCCGCATTATCGAGGGATGAGGGCGGTCAGGAGGCAAGGTTGCATCACGCTATTGACAGCTGGCCCACCCTGCTCGTAGTTGTGAGGAAACCACATGCCAGCTCAGCCGCTTTGAGCGGTGCAAGCTATTCAACCGTCCCGTACTGCGACCGCCGCTTCCCTTACCGATTCATTCACATGGCCCAGCAGCCGGTACGCCGCGGTGTGTGGTGCGGGCACGCCCCAGGGCCGCCCACTGCTGCTGGCCGCCGCCGCCGCCGCTGCATCTTCGTCCATCGTGGTGCTGAGCAGCGCAGTCGCCTCGAGTGCAGCATGGGCGGGGTGGGCGCCCCTGGCCGCCCCCGGCTCGTCGGGCCGCGGCTGCTGCTGTTCTGATATGCCTATCATCCTGAGTGAATGCAGGTGCCGAGCACGTTCCGAGGGCAGTCAATGGGGTCGCATTTTGGGCGCATCACGTGCGGCGGGCGTGCTGTGCTCGTGCAGCCGCTCCGTGTTTGTGCTCTGGCGCTCACCCGGATCCAGCGCGCAGCCTGCTGCGCTTAAACCAACCCCCACGTGTGACCGTCGATCGCGATGATTTGCGAGGACTTATAGACCAGCCGGCAGCTCTTGAATCGCTGAGCATGAGCATGGATTCAGGTAAATTGATGCACATAAGCATGTGATGCATGAGTAACCGTACTGAACGCACCAAACTTACAACGCTTCATCATTGCAGGTGGCGGCAGGCGCCCGTCCAAAAAGCTCAGCGCACGCAGCACGCGAGTACCTCACCGCTGGCCCACCGCACCAACAGGCGCATTTTGCTGCGCCACCACAGGCGCAGATGCGTTACAAGCAGCCATCACTCCTCCCCGGGCCATGCAAAGTCCGCCGCGGCCTGCAGCGCCCCTTGCACGTCCTCGGGAGCCGGGGACCCGGGATCGAGCGCCGCCAGTACGTCCGCTTCCCCCACTCCCACAGCCTCGGCCCCGACGCCGCACAGCTGCCCTGGCCCCACCACCGCGGCCGCCATCGCCTGTGCGCCGCTCGCAGCTGCCACCACTCCGCCCGCGGCCAGGCCTGACGGTGCACCCTGCTGGCGCCGCGCGCCCGCCTTATCTTCTACTAGGCGGGCGCCGTGCCTCAAAAAGGTGCCCACAGGCACTGGCGAGCCGGGGCCGGACGACCCCCCGATTACGCTGCTCAGCGCCTGCGCTGCCGCGGGCGCAGCCGCCTGCGGGCGCGGCGGCCCGTCCACCGGACTGAAG